TTTTCAGAAGATGTGTATAGAGGGGGTAATAAGGTATGTGTGGGGAGGGGGGCATGTTGCCAGGCAGCTCCTAATAGGGCCTTTCAGAATCTTTCCATTCAGGTCTCATTGGCGGGCCGGGGGGGAGGAGGGGGGATTAGGATGCCGAGGCAGCGTCTCATTAAAGAAACGCAGAGAGGAGGAGTGGAGTGTGGAGATTGGATTAACTTGTTTAGGCTTATTAGGGAGTGCCCCCGTGGTTTGTTAAAAGCACTGAATTGTGTGTGTTGGGGGGTGGGCTCACGGCAAGTCGGGATTCTATTCAGGGGAGGGGGTGTTGGGGCTTCCTTGCCCACACTTACTCCCCATGAGAGAGATGGCCACGCCCCTCTGCATGGCGCACCCTAACTGCCACCTGCTAACCCTGCATCGTGCATTTCGCTTATCCTCCAAGCTTCACCAGTTTCATCCTTTGCCATCAAAGTCTTCCCTTCTCATAACCGGCACAGACGACTTCAGTCAAGTGATGTGATTTTTAATGTTAAAAAAACCCAACAACTTCTCTCAAGCCTTCCGTGCAGCGTTTTGAGACCCCGAATTTGCCTTCCATACCAAGGGGGTAGGAACAGTATCCAGGGATCTGCTGGATGACATGGCCATATTTCTCTAGGTTTCTCTGTCCTCGATGTGTCCCCTTTATATAGGTGTATACTTTTCCTTAGGTGATAGAGGTTAACTAGTTCACTCTTGGACAGGGGTGTCAAACTCCAGCCCTGTGTTGCTTAGTTCTTTCCCTGTTCTACCACAAATGAATCAGCACCAGCGCTGTGTGGTAATTAGCACAAGGAGTTGAATCAGGTGTGTTAAATGAGAGGAAACCCAAAAATGTGTAGGGCTCCGGCCCCCCAGGACTGGAGTTTGACACCCCTGCCCTAGGGTACTGCTTCCCTTTGGGACTGCCAACATTTAGCTGTACATCCATAACATTACATGCTTACATAAGCCATGTTTGTTGGGTGCCCAGGCTGTTACTGTTACTGGAGTTCTCTTTGTGACTCAAGATCTGGGATTGAATACTTCCACTGGAAGACATCTGGCGCAGAGAGCACAAGCCTGTGGGACCAGGACTGGGAAACGTGACAAACAAGTCAAGGCTTCCTCTTTCCTTTTCTCTGTTAAAGCCGGTAATAGGAGAAAATTGGTTTTTGGAATGGAGTTAAAAAAAGTGGTTTCTTTCAGAGAAGGAAAATGCCTTTCAGGATCCATTTGCTGAGCACAGAATGGAGAATAATGGAAGGTAGTTACACAATTGTCTTTCATTTTTCAGTCGGGATAGTGTGGAGGCATTCCCCATGAGGACAGATTTTTGGTCTCTATTCTTTCAGTTTGGCAGCCAAATCCCACCCCCTCTCTTCTCTCCCTAGCACCCCCCCCCCATCCCACCCCCCACACTCACGCACGCACCAGTACCACCTCCCGCCCCTAGCTCCATAAACGCTCCATAACGGAAGGCTCGTGGTGAAATTAGTATCCTCACAAAATGGAGACGGAGAGGCTTTTAGCTTGTGAATAGTCAATAATTAGATGAAAGTGCCTGTGTGATTTGAAGAGGCTTGTCTGCATGCGTCAGGGAGATGCAGAGGTGCCCGATGTTACTCTGGGGGCACCTGGCTGGAATGAAATATATTCTGATCCTCCCATCTTGGGAAGTGCAGCAAAAATCATGCTGATGCCACCAAAAACTATCATTTCAAAACTTTAATCAAGCTGCTTTGTGAAATGTATATAGGTGTGATGGTGTGGCTGGCTCGCTAAGAAAGAAGGGCTGCTTTGAATTGATTATTTCAGCAAGGCCTGCATTCAATTTTAATCACCCCCCCAATTATTGTTGTTTGTTCTATTCATTTCCTTTTATGTTTCATATAGGTTCCTTTAGGAAAGTCAGCTGAATACGTTTTTTGTTGTAGTTTTTTGTGCTGATTTACAGCAGCGATTTCATAATTTTGTGCACTTTTCTGTTGAATTCGAGATTAGTGTCCTTCAATCTACGGCGTAATGGGCTTTTTACATTTTTTTAAATTCGTTGAAATTCATTTCTATGTTTGAGGGACCATCGTCTCCCTCATTTGTCCTTTGTGAAATATTTCAGTAGAAGTGTTTAAAACAATTTGAAGTAATCATCCAAAGTTTGGAGCGGTAATTTTATTACTACAATATAATTTTTTATTTGATATTTAGGCGGAACCTGCGCTGGACCTTAAGGTTGGTATTTATCACATATAAAACATGACGCGTTGGTTCGAGCACCTTTACTCTGACGTACTTTACTTGATTGAACAAATATTAATCAAAGTATACGCGCTCAGAATAAAAAAAATGGTTTATTTTATCCTCTCAAAAAAAAACTATATATATATACTATATATATTAAATATTATATATATATATATATATATATATAATATTTAATTTAAATTGAAATCATCCCTATGATGAATTGTTCGAGGAACCTGCTTATTATTAGTCGTCTTGGACGAATAATATTTCCATTATAATTACATGGGATATAGGCGCACAGTTATAATTTATGTGATAAAAATCCGAGTTAGGAAAATAAGCGATTTCACAGACTGGCAAAACGAAACACCGACATATGTTCCCGCTGTTTCCGTTACGCTACGATGATCGCTTATAGGCTATTGTTAGCGAAAACCGTATAACAAATTGCGCAGAAATTAAGAGGCTTGAGACAGATTTATACCCGCATGTTCATTTTGTTTATTGAATAGATACTTGGGCCGCCGTGAGTCCCCCATTATAATAACTGTGCAAAGTGCGTTTCAGTGGGCCCGTGTATTTTTGTTGATCACGATCATTAATTGTTCGTCTTCAATTTCGTTTAAAAAGACAGTAAAAGTATATGGAAACTGATTGAAAGCATGCAGTAGCTTGTGCTACGGGAACCGTGCTTTTGCGTTTACCCAGTTTACTATTACCTAGTACTGAACAAGCGTCCGTAATTAATCAAAAATATCATTTTATTTTAAACTGTCTTATTTATTCTTTTGGTCTGGTGTTTTTGTAAAATTGATTTCGGAGTACCGGGCAATCGGCGTGAAATTATAGGGTGTAGGCTTATATAGCTATGAGTTTCGAATTTCGTGTTAAAATAAAGAAAAACAAAATTAGTTCCGGACCGCTGTTATCATTTACTTGCAAATCTTATTTTTTGCACATTTTAATGTTATTTACACTTATGATTTATTAAATTGTGTTTGCTCACTGTATCCGACAATAGCGGTCCACCCTCTGGGACTTTTAACCTGTCCGTAAACCTAGCGCTGATACCTGCATGCCCACACTACACTGCAATTACATACGTCCGTCTGTGTATTTGTTATTCCCCTCTTTACGTCTGAGAGATGTGCCCACTGATGCGCGGGGGGGGGGGGGGTAATTTTATGAGATGCATTTAATAAATGCTTGATTTTCAGTGAAAAGAGCCCACAAACAGACAGAATTACGGTTGGCTTGTGGGGCGGCGGTCCGTTAACTCATAATTATTCTAATAGCTTTCTTTCATATTAAAATGCTAATCTTTAAAGCAAAATAATAGATTGATGGCAGGTGGCGGTGAGCCGCTTTTATTTGCATATAGTGGCTCATGCAGAAAATAAATAACACGGGACAAGCCTCGGGGGGGTGTGTGTGTCGGGAGGGGGGCGTCGTTTCTCAATAATCCTCTGTACACGATGACTGGAGACAGCGGGGCTGTCAAGAAAGAGGAGATATTTAACGGCGGGTCTTTGTCTAAATGGGTACAGACTGGCATGGGTGGAAATTATATTGTTTGATATTTGATGAGCGCCGACGGAGACACGCTGTGAACGGGGGGTGGGGGCATACAGGGGCGCAGATGCGAACGGGACGCCCTTTCGTGCCTGCTGGGGGGGTTATGATTTGCGCGTCCCTCTATGCCGTTTGTATTCTACTGTCCTATTGTCGATTTCCAGAACAGTAGCCTAGTGACTATCGGTGTCTTAATTGGTATACAGGCACTATATATTGTATGTACGTGTGTATGTGTGAAATATGCAATTCAGACAGTCAAAAAAGGCACATTTACAGTATTTAGACAGTATAAATAAAGTGACAATACACAGTAACACTACAAAGAATGTGACCTTTTGTGAGAATTGCATGACGCATATACAAGTATGTATATTTTGGTGGGCCCGTATAAGTAGTATGTGGCTGTGTGAGCAGATGGCATTTGTGGTACTTCCCAAAAAGTGTTACTTTTCTTCTTTAGTGTGAGTTTCGTAGGCCCCGCCTTCACTGCCTTTGCCCCCCCATGCCCCCCCCAATAACCATGCAAAAGTCCTTGCGTAAGGAGGGTGTTCGTAAAGCCAAGGTGAAGGTCACAATGGACACCTGGACACGTACACAATCTTGCCAGCCCAAATGAAATTTCACAGGAGGTAGCTGGTTTAATTAGGAAGCCTTTGATGTATGAAGCTACTGATTGTCCGTAAATGTGGATATTTCGCCTTGTTTTCTGGAATATGTAAGAGACGATGAAGAAATACTGACAGACATGCGAAAAACACTCCACACTCACACACAATGCGTGTAGACACATGATCCCAAGGTCGTGCCAGAAGGTGCGTAGGAAGGACACCACTTTGGGTCCACTACATTCTCAGAAAAATGATTATAAATTTGTACCTTTACTTGTCACTGTGACTGTGCTCTTGTAATTGTACCTTTTAAAGTACAGAAATGGACTCTGAGGAACATCCAAAAGATACAAGCAGCATCAATGGTACAGAAATGTTCCTCAGAGTCCATTTATGTACCTTACAAGGTACAATTACCTACAGCTAAGGGTACAGTTGGCAAACCTTTGAGGGTACAGACTCAGTAACAAGCAGAGGTACAATTTTTTACCGTTTTTTCTGAGAGTGTAAGAAACACAGGGCTTGAAGCCTTTCTTACCTTGTGCCTTTGTCTCACATCAGGTTGGACGTAGCTGCCACCAGCTGTAGAAGCCCCTAGGCCAGCCCCCCGGCCCGTCATGTTGGCCTGTCTGCAGAGGAGGCAGAACCCCCCAGCTCAGCACTTGGTGTGTGCCGCCAAGGCCCTGGAAGCACCACACTCCACCAACCGGAAATGTAAGTATCCTGGGTTCCGTGCCCACTGCGCCACCTAGAGACGAGACTGTGCTGGTTCAGGCCTGAGTCCTGGTTCTTGATCTTTAGTGGGTGACACTCAGGTTGCACAGAAAACTGTGGAGGGGGCTTTGGTGGCAAAGAAACAGACTAAAACAGTGCTTTGGTTGGGCCATTGTTATAGAAGCTCAAGGGGAGGCCTCTGGTGGAGTGGTTTTCGGGGACCTCCAGAACTGGGAGGGAGCAAAAATGTGGACCGTCTGGCGGTCCCTGGGGAATAGGTTGAGAAACACTGCTTTTTAACAGCTGCTTAAGAAATAAACTTTGCACATCAACATGCTTAGCCTTATCTCTTGAACAGTGTGTGTTGCTGCACTCAACTGGAAGCCATTGTTTTGTTCTACTGACTGGAGCGTGGGGAGCTGAGAGGCACAGCGTCCCATTTACGGCAAGGGTATCTCAGTATTTACGATATCAGCTGCCTGAGTGCTGTGTTTAAACTGAGCATTTAAGGTCATAGATTTAGGTTCGCTGCATGCTGTCCTCCCCTGAGCATTGACAAGTGTCCCCTGCTTGAGAACGTTCTAGCCACCTTATCTCTTTTATGAGGTTGCAATAGAGAGGTGTCCCACCCCTGTTGTTAAAACAAAACTTGCAGCTTTCACTTAAGATGAAGGTGTTTTATTTTTTTATGGTGCTGGAGCAGTGTCCCGACTCTTGGGTCACATTTACCGTCAGAAGTGCGGGCAGCAGTGATGACAGATGGGGAGCGGCCGCGGTGGCTGACGAAGGATTATCGAATGCCGCACAATTTCTGTGTTTCCTGGAAACGTTACATTCGTGCTAATGCTGACACCCCCCAGGCAGTTGTCTGTCCTTAGAAACACCCGGAATCTGAGGGCCTTTTGTTAACATGATGAGTGACCTGACTCCTGCTAGCCAATCAGGAGAGGTGGTGGTGACAGAAAAATACTGAAAAACTCACTGAAAGTCATCAGCCCACCTCATCATCATCGGAAACGTGAAACTGGGCCGGTGATACCCCCCCCCNCCACTTCTCTCTATAGAGAGAAGGTCAGTGAAGTGCCGGTGGGGGGGTCCAGACTACTGTCGGAGCTTTTAAAGTGTTGGAGTGAGAGAGCTTGAAAGGGAAGGGGGTGAGCTGCGGGGGAGGTTAGGGAGGTCGAGCTGAAGCGGAAAATCTCGGGGAGGAGAGGAAGGGGGTGCAAGTGGGTTCGCTAATGAGGTCTCAGCGCTGCCCCCGCAGGATCGGCCAGGCGGGCAGGCTGCCCGCCGTTCTCTTAATCGATTCCCTCCCGCTGATTTCCACAGGATTAGACCACTTCCTCTCCCAGGGCCCAGGGCTGGAATCAATAGAGAAAAGCAGCACCCCGCAAAGGAGGCCCCGCCCCTCTGCTGCCACACACACCTGTTAAACCTTTGATTTAAAGGGCCGGCGCGGAGCTAGCTTGGAGGTTAATAACGATTGTGTTGGAGTATAATGGCTTGACATTTCACTTTCTTTGCCTGCTTTGGGGCGAGTCTGGGACGCAGGCCTAGCGGGGCACGCGGACGGTGAGCCGGCAGGCGACGCAGCAGGATCATGGTACATGGCCGCCACATTGACGGTGCGAGAGGTGGCTGCCGTAGTCGGTCTCTGTTCCCCCAACAAATATGGGAGGCGGCCTGGAGGAGCGAGGTGTTGCATGGCATGGGCGTCCATTTAAACCCCTTAGATGGTGAGGGGTTGGGGGATTTGTGTGCATGTGTGTGAAGTGGACAGACAGAGCTACACACACACACTTGTGTGTGTAACAGGGGCAGACTTCAGGTATTTTTAATGACTTTAGTTTTCCACTGGATGAGAATGAAAAGAAAGGGAGGCATTAGTTAAATAATAAATCACAGTGCTGCTTTCAGCAAGACCGGATTCCCTGCGTCTACAAAGGGCCGCAGCAGCGCCCAGACCCTGTCATTTTTAATTAAATCCTCCCGTACGCGTGACATTTCCAGCCCCCCCTCCGCGTCTGTCTGCTGCTGCCCTAGACAGAGACTCTCACAAGCTGGATGGAGGTTGTCCTGACCAATCGGGCAAACGGACCTTCAAGTTACAGGTTGCCCAGCCCCCCGATATGGAAAGAATCGTTTGCTTTCCAGTAAGAAGAAAAGCGTGATTCTGGCAGGGCTCTGGGGTGCAGGGTAGGTTTAACTGGGGGGGGGGGTCGAGCAGTTTCATAGACTGGCAGCGTCCTCGCCTTCTCCTTGAACTCTCCACCACTTCCTTCTCTGACAAAGACACTAATACTGCTTTTATTACACTGAGCACAGCCTGCTAAACATGAATCCAAGCCCGCTTCAATAATACATAACAATATTATAACCCTTTTAAAAATATTACACCATTTTCCAGATCGGGGCCCGGCCCTCACTGCTGCTGATAAAAGGGATTCAGTTTGGCTCGGCCAGACCTGTTTAACGCTGGAGTGGGACTCTGGATCTTTCTGTTTTTCTGGTTTACTCCCTCTGACCGGGATCGTTTACTCGGAGGTTAATGGTCGTGGATTTACAGATCACGGGTTTACAGCCCTGGTTTTTCTGACTGATTCATTACTGGGTTTTTATGAGAATGATGAAGAAAAAAAAAAAACATTTCCGGCAGAGCAGTTAGCAGAAGGCCGACCCTGCTGCCCTTAGAGCGGAGCAGGGCTGGAGGTGCAGTTGACAGTCCCAGCGATGGAGCCCATGGGTCCAGACGGACCAGGGCCACCCGACAGCAACCTGGAACTAAAACCAAGAGACATGCTGTTTAAGCACAACTCAGCGGGGGTCTAAGCCCCATCAAGAAATCCATCTTCACAATTTTTAAATGAAAAGTTGTTTTTTTTTTTTACAGTTATACCCAGGGGCGTAGGAACTAGGGGGTTGAGGGGGACATGTACCCCCCCCCCCCCCCATAATTTAATTTGGCTTCATTCATCCCCCCAATAAATAGACATTTGTATTTAAATTCTCAAGTTGTGTGCCCTGCACTATCACACTCTCCTATGCCCTTGGTCATACTTCAATTAAAAAAAAGCAGAATATTCACACACCATATGATAGTCGTGCATTTTACAAACAGAATAAATTCTGTTAATCTATTTGTAAATTTATGAAAGTCATGTAGGGGAAAGTTTCCTTTTTCTTGTTTTCATTTACTAGTTTTGCCTAAAAAAACATCTTATATGGCATGGAGGGCCCAGTCAGACAAGGTGATCGATCGGCTTGTACCATAGGATTAGCATAATGGTAACAGTGACAAGATCAGTTTTGAAGGACTTTCTCAGCCTCGGGTATCATGGGGTCAGTCTCCTGGACAGCAGGGGGCTGACATAACGGGGAAAGCCCCACCCCCCCAAAGCTGGAATGCCTGTTAATGATTTTGGATGCTGTAAGGAAATGCTACAAGAACTTTCCCTTTGCTCTACTAAAAGGAGAATAAAATGTCTTTCTTTATTAAAGGAAACAAACTTCAAGTTTTACTCACAAAATTACAACAGAAAAAGCAGAATGAAACAAAAGCTCTTGTTAGAAGCCTTTGCATTGCAGAGACTCTGTCTGACGCTACAAATGCTGTCACCAAACATGTAATCCGCCAGTAGTGGAATTATTGTTTTGTGCAGCTCCTACTGTTTTTTTTTTTTTTTTTTTTTTTTTTTCTGTTTCATGAGGCTTTTACTGCCAGGAAGCTGTTCTTCAAAGGCACATGATTGAAGTCTTTTTGTTTATCTTCTGTTTCTTTTTAAAAAATAATTTTCAGCTCTTGCCTCACTGAGGCACAATACAGAAAAGTTCAGTAACGAGGTTTAAATTTCATATATAGAATTAATTACATTAAAAAATATTTTGTTTATCTATTGCCTTTCTGTGGTCCAAGTTCAGTAATACCATTAAAGTTTATAAGTAACGATAGTGTTTTTGAACAGTGTTCGGCCTTTGCCTCTTTGGGTCTCTTTGGTATAAAGTTCTGTGAAGTGTTATTGGAGTGATTTAGGAGTTTCATCTCGCTGGTCCTGGAGAAAAATCCTCGATGCAGCCAGTGGCTCCTCCTCTCACTGTCTCGGCTGACAGGCTCTCCGTGGCAGGAGACGTCCACCGGGGGCATGCTGGGAGAAGAGGGTGTGTTTTGCCTGTGTCTCTCACCTAGTATTGTCCTTAGTACATTTCCCGTGTTGTCCCAGGAACATCGACATGAAAAGGATACATACCGCAGGGCCTTCACCCGGATGCCCACCATTCCAATGAGTACATTCAGGCTCCTTTAAGCAGCCACCCCCAGGATGCATATTCTCAAGGGGGTGTTTCTGTGCTGAACCTTAGCATATGTGCCCTTAGTGCAGCCCAGAGCGACTGAGGGTTTGGTATGAGTCACAGTGTCGTCCACATCCCCAGGACTCGGCGGGTCCTGGCACTAGGACACCTGTCCGTATGGGGGGGTGACATCATGCATTTTAAATATGGGGGCTAGAGATCGCAAAATCAGAGACAAGCTGAAGGCCCTGATTGGTGGAGGGTCCTATCATCCTAGTGAGGAAATGAGGAACTGAAATTTTGCATTGAGAACACTTTGGTCCGGAATAATGTAGTCTGGATAATTATCTGGGTATCTGCAGTGTTTCTTACAAAGCCTTGGTACTTTAGTTTCCATTCAGTGGTTTTAAGACGTAATAATTCCATGTCTGGTGCATCATTTAGACAATATCCAGATAGTCCCGTCAAGATGGTCACGTTTTAAAAGCTGTGTTTCTATAACTGATTGTCTCTAACCATGTGATTGGTTATGCTTCATTGCTGAAAAAGTCCGGCGTACTGTAAAATGTGTGTTTTAGATAAATGAAAAGCACATTGCTATAGATAGCTTAGAATCAGCTGTTTAGTAATTAAGAGAGGATTTTGGTGAGGCGTGTACTGCTATCTGTCTACTGGTGCTCCTGTAGGGCTGCACTTTTCACAGCACGTCTGTA